ATATTTTGCTGAAACTTTCCATAATTCTATTGTTGAGTCACGTGTCTTATCAATCCGAATTTGATCTCCTTGTGAAAATCTCTTTTATTTGTTGTTAGTAATCCAATGTAATTAAACCTTTACACGACCTCAAATATATAAACTTTGTACAATTTCGGTCAACATTCAACCTGTTTACAGCTTTTTGTTTATATAATTACCACGCGCTATAACAAAGCCCGACAAAGACTAATTTTTGAGATAGACAAAAATGAAATATTTCTTAAATGTCCATCTATATTGAAACGATACATTAAAGTCTATCAATAATAGTAAAACATTGAAGGCTTGGTTGAATTGTAGTTTTCGCAGAAAAATAAACGAAAATATTGCATATCGTGGCAACTAAATGTTCGGACGAGAAATTACATTTTAATATAGAGTTACTTTGCCATGCGCCTGTTGTACATTGTACAACCGCGACAATCCTGTCTGACATTGTTTTTACTAATGCAGCCCATACACGCTAGGGTTTGCATGATGGTTTTAACCTTGCATGCATAACCACCTAACAACATAACCGACAGGTATAACCAAGTTCCATATTACACATACACGTTAGGGTTTGCATGCACAGTTTTGCCATTAACTCTTCTGTTAAGCTACGTGACGGTGTGTGCAGGTCGCCTAGGGTACTTTGTGCGGTTTATACCTACCAAACTACAATGGACGACAACGATGTGATAGCTGTACTTGGCTTAACACTTATTCTTCAGGAAAGAAAAAAAAGATCGCACTGAATGGTCTAAGCGCTGGTTATTAAAAAGACATCATTTCTCCCACGTAAATTTGATAAATGAATTGAGATTTAAACCAAAAGATTACAAAAATTATTTACGAATGGACGAAAAACTTTATTTGAAACTCTTATCATTAATTACTCCGTTAATACAAAGATAAGATACTGTGATGAGGAAAGAAATATCAGCACATGAGAGACTAGCAGTAACATTAAGATTTCTTGCAACAGAAAGAACATACGAGTGTCTCAAATATTCTGCTATTAATATTACCTCAGGCTAATATTTTTTTTTATAAAAATTTGGAAAAAATGAACAAAGGGGGTACCCTTGGATTTTTTTCAAATTTCTTTCAAAATTTTCATTTAGAGGTCTATATTTGTTGAAAAAGTGGAGAAATTTTAATTCGATTTTTTCTCTTTCCTGGCAAACTTGGGTTAGCGAATCATACCAAGGCACATTTTTGTAATAAGCTGGACCGAGTACTTGTATCAAAACATAAAAAAAAAATTTATAAAAATTTGGAAAAAATCATCAAATGGGGTAACCTTGGATTTTTTCAAATTTCGTTATTCGGCTATATTGGCGTCAATTTTCGTCCGAGAGTCAAGCAAGTGGACATTTCTTACACAAAATTGACCGCTCGTTCTTCTGCGATGCTCAGAATTTTCCTACATCTAACGGTTCGTGAGAAAAATTTTCATTTGGAGGTCTATATTTGCTAAAAAAGTAAAGAATTTTTAATTCGATTTTTTCTCTTTCCCGGCAAATTTGGGTTGGCGGATCAGACTAAGACATGTTTTTGTAATAAGCTGGACCGAGTGCTTGCACCAAAACAAAAAAAAAATTTTTTTATAGAAATTTGGAAAAAATCATCAAAGGGGGTACCCTTGGATTTTTTTCAAATTTCTTTATTCGGCTATATTGGCGTCAATTTTTGTCCGAGAGTCAAACGAGTGGACATTTCTTACATAAAATTGACCGCTCGTTCTTCTGCGATGCTCATAATTTCCCTACATCTAACGGTTCGTGAGAAAGATTTTCATTTAGAGGTCTATATTTGCTGAAAAAGTAAAGAATTTTTAATTCGATTTTTTCTCTTTCCTGGCAAATTTGGGTTGGCGGATGACACTAAGACATGTTTTTGTAATAAGCTGGACCGAGTGCTTGCACCAAAACATAAAAAAAAAATTTATTTTTTTTTATAAAAATTTGGAAAAAATGAACAAAGGGGGTACCCTTGGATTTTTTTCAAATTTCTTTATTCGGCTATATTGGCGTAAATTTTTGTCCGAGAGTCAAGCGAGTGGACATTTCTTACATAAAATTGACCGCCCGTTCTTATGCGATGCTCAGAATTTTTCTAAATCTAACGGGTCGTGAGAAAAATTTTCATTTGGAGGTCTATATTTGTTGAAAAAGTAAAGAATTTTTAATTCGATTTTTTCTTTTTCTTGGCAAATTTGGGTTGGCGGATCAGACTAAGACATGTTTTTGTAATAAGCTGGACCGAGTGCTTGCACCAAACATAAAAAAAATTGTTTTTTTTATAAACATTTGGAAAAAATGAACAAAGGGGATACCCTTGGATTTTTTTCGAATTTCGTTATTCGGCTATATTGGCGTCAATTTTTGTCCGAGAGTCAAGCGAGTGGACATTTCTTACATAAAATTGACCGCTCGTTCTTATGCGATGCTCAGAATTTTTCTAAATCTAACGGGTCATGAGAAAAATTTTCATTTGGAGGTCTATATTTGCTGGAAAAGTAAAGAATTTTTAATTCGATTTTTTCTCTTTCCCGGCAAATTTGGGTTGGCGGATCAGACTAAGACATGTTTTTGTAATAAGCTGGACCGAGTGCTTGCACCAAAACATAAAAAAAAAAAATTTTATAAAAATTTGGAAAAAATTAACAAAGAGGGTACCCTTGGATTTTTTTCGAATTTCGTTATTCGGCTATATTGGCGTCAATTTTTGTCCGAGAGTCAAGCGAGTGGACATTTCTTACATAAAATTAACCGCTCGTTCTTATGCGATGCTCAGAATTTTTCTACATCTAACGGTTCGTGAGAAAAATTTTCATTTGGAGGTCTATATTTGCTGAAAAAGTAAAGAATTTTCAATTCGATTTTTTCTCTTTCCCGGCAAATTTGGGTTGGCGGATCAGACTAAGACATGTTTTTGTAATAAGCTGGACCGAGTGCTTTCACCAAAACATAAAAAAAATTTTCTTTTTTATAAAAATTTGGAAAAAATGAACAAAGGGGGTACCCTTGGATTTTTTTTCAAATTTCGTTATTCGGCTATATTGGCGTCAATTTTTGTCCGAGAGTCAAGCGAGTGGACATTTCTTACATAAAATTAACCGCTCGTTCTTATGCGATGCTCAGAATTTTTCTACATCTAACGGTTCCTGAGAAAAATTTTCATTTGGAGGTCTATATTTGCTGAAAAAGTAAAGAATTTTCAATTCGATTTTTTCTCTTTCCCGGCAAATTTGGGTTGGCGGATCAGACTAAGACATGTTTTTGTAATAAGCTGGACCGAGTGCTTGTACCAAAACATAAAAAAAATTTTATAAAAATTTGGAAAAAATCATCAAAGTGTATCATCATAAAAAAAAGAGTATTAAAACCACTTATACAACTCTTCCATATATAAAAGGTTTATCCGAACAACTAACAAATGTTTTAGCCAAACATAATAAAACAGTGGCCCACAAAGGCAACAACCTCTTAAATAAATACTTCACAAAACTAAAAACACAAACTCCAAAACTTAAAAAATCACATGTTGTTTACGAGATATCATGTACAAACTGTGAAGGTGTCTATATCGGTCAAACCAGTCAACTGCTTCAATCCAGAATTCGTTCTCACAATTACGACAAGAACAACGTCACTGCGCTCACAAAACATGAAAGCGGGAAGAAGCATAAATTTGACTTTGAAAACATCAAAATTTTAAAAACAGAAAAAAAAAACAAAAAGAAGAGGGAGAGATATGAATCAATAGAAATAAAAAGAAACACCAACGCAATAAATGACAAAAAAGATACACAAAACCTAAATAAAATATATTTCAATCTGATTTAAACAATAATAATATAACATTAAAAGCTCTTAAATTCATAACATATCTTCACCTTGCCTTTTTCAAAAACATCAACGATGCGCCCATATAAAAATAATTATATACTAATGACAGTAAACAATGAGATATCAGATATCAACTTTTATATGTCAGTTCGTTAATGTCTGTGTCACGTTTTACGTTTTGGTAAGTCATATATATATATATATATATATATATATATATATATATATATATATATATATATATGTATATATATATGTATATATATATATATATATATATATATATATACATATTTTACAATATCTGTTTGTCCTTATATATATATATATATATATATATATATATATATATATATATATAATATATATATATATATATACACATTTTAGAATCATGACAAAGGCAAGGGTTTGCTGCCGAAACGTTGATTGATTGCAATGGAAAATAAAATCTAGTTCCACATGTAACATATCTTTATTGAACCTAAACACAAGAAACATTAATTTTATATTATATATATTATATAATGAACCAGAAGTATTTGCTGACAACTTAAGGAAGTAAATTTTAAATATTGGGTTTGCAGCAATAAAAAAATGAAACGTGTATTCTTCTAAATTTTTATTCCAAGCTTTCGGACATTGGTTATGTCCTTCATCAGGGAGAAACTTAATGAGGTTGTATCATCAATGATTTTATATAATGTTGATAAAATTTATCAGTCTGTCATATTTTTTACATAAAAACTATTCCTATATTTAATATTTTTAAAAATTACTTTACAATCACAAACACTTGATTATTATACAAACATTTATGACATTTTTATTCTTAATTTTATTTTCACCATATATATATATATATATATATATATATATATATATATATATATATATATATATATATATATATATATATGTAGAAGTAGAATTCGGGGAACAAATTCTTAATTAGACCAACAATTGAATTTCCCAATAGCCACAGGGGGCGATACGTAGAAATCAACGATTGATTTTAACCTTTCACCTATCTCCTTTACATACCTTCCATTCATTTTTTAAATACCATTATCTTAAATACTTCCTTTAATGTATTATTTTTATTGCAGTGAATTTATACAGTCTTAGTGCATGCACAGTATTTACATGGTCTTCCCCAGCTTTAGTCAAATTAGCTAGCAATGATACGGATATAAATCCCTTGGAAACACCGATAACAGACTTTGAAGAATCTTGGATAGCTTCTGCAGCAGCTTTAGGGCTTATATTTGGAAGTATGTTGGCAGGCCTATGTGCAGGAAAGTTAGGACGCAAGAAAACTGTGATACTTTTTGGCGTATTAGATTTAATAAGTTTTATTTTAATAGCTCACGCAAAACAGGTTAACTTATTTTATATTGCTAGATTTATAGCGGGGTTGAGTGGTGGATGTGCAGTATCTGTGATTCCCAGTTATGTAGCTGAAATATCTGACGATGCTAACAGAGGATTCTTTAATTCAATTCTAAGTATTATGGGCGCTGTTTCATCTCTGTGTAATTTTGCTATTGCCCCACTGATATCTATAAAAGCTTTTGCTTACTTTTTTATTGGTGTATTAACTTTATTCTTTATTACATTTGTACCTTTTGTACCTGAAACTCCGTATCACTTCTTGGAACATCAAAATAGTTTCAAAGCGGAAAAGGCTCTTCTGAAACTACGCAAAAGCGTAGACGTTAGAGACGAGCTAGATTATTTAAGAGAACTTGTTTCAAAAAATAAAAATAAGACGGGTTCCTGGAGGGATATTTTTGAGTCCAAAGCAGCAAGGAATGGTTTGTGTATCTGTTGTATTTTATTAATTTTTCAACAATTCATGGGATCCAACTTTTTTGGATTTTACATGCAAACGATTTTAGAAGCTAGCGGAAATATTATTCCGTCTCATATTGCTTCTATTATTGTAGGAGTCATTCAAGTCTGTATTTGTGTTGTTTCCAGTCTTCTAATAGATAGACTTGGAAGAAAAATATTACTTATTACTTCTTCGTTGGGTGCTGGTATATCAATGTTAGGAGTTGGTGTTTTCTTCGCTTTTAAAACACATGGATACAACGTGGATTCCTTTTATTGGTTGCCAACGTTGTGCATGGTAATCTCTGTTGGATGTTTTAACATGGGATATGGTCCAATTCCGTGGACAATTTGTGGAGAATTATTTTCCACAGATGTAAAAGCATTATGTGTTAGTATAGCCTCTTTCATTGGATTTACAGTATCATTTATAATAGTGGCATTATTTCCTCATATAACGGCAATGTTAGGGTTCAGCACACCATTAATTTTTTTTGGTGTACTGGCACTGCTTAGTAACTTTTATCTGGTTAAATTCGTTCCCGAAACTAAAGGAAAGAGTTTTGAAGAAATTCAGTTTATTTTGAAAGAAGGACAAACATCCTGATTTCGTCAAGGATAAAAGATATTATGCAAATGTAATGTGTATATGTTAAGTATTATTAAGTTAAATATATCAATAGTATTTATTACATAAAACCCTGTAAATAAAGATTTGATATTTTTTGCGTTTAAATGTATTTTAGATAACCTTTTTTAAATCCTTTATGAATGACAATATGCTATATTATAAAAGTTGAAATAAATTGGTGAGTGGTAGTTGCAGTGTAAAAGTAGATTGCATAATATAAACAAATAATGCATTTAAATAAATATTATATTTTGAAATTGTATCTAATGGGATATTAACTCAGATATGACCGAAACTTCTTTTAATTTTTAAAATATTTAATTTTTACGCTTATAACCTAATATGACACTGCAGGATCACTAAAAACACAGTAAAATAGAGTTATGGCGCAAAGACACTGGTTTGACAAGTGATAATATGCATATTATCGTATCCATGGACGTATAACCATAGATGGACACAGCAATAAGATACCTTTAACAAACAATGTTTTGAAGCTTCGATAGAATGTGATGCTTCCGCAATGAGCATAAGCGTGCTTGAATTATTACTCGCGGGTAATTATTCAGATTTTAAAAATTGGAAGTAGTAATAATGTATAAAAACACGTTCAAAAATTTAAAAAAACCAGAGTTTAACTATTAACAAATCACTTCTTTATAGAAAAATTAAAATACAATTTTATTTGCTTTAAAATTAATACAATAAAATATAGTTGAATTCAAGTTAATTTTTTAAAGGTATCAAAATAATGCTACAATAAAAAATCTTTATGTTTTCTCCTAAATTTGCTACCAAAATAGTTCGATCGTCAATATTATTTGGAAACCTACATAGAAAAATAAATGAGTTTTATTTATTTCACTAATTTATTTGCATCCATGAGAAATATTGAATTAAAAAGGTACTAAATAGATCTTTTTTAATCAGATGATGTCTACGTACAATTTAAAAATGTCTACTAATTTCATGAACTTATATCTTATTTAATACATTAATGAACATGAATAAACCCAATGGTACGCCTATTAAAATGTAAACAAACACGCTTCCTCATTTCCTCATCTTAAATAATGTAAATTGTATGTACTTACAAATGAAATGAGAGATCGGGATGTAAATATTTCGTTTAATTTATTTCACTTTTCACAAATATCACTCAAAATACAGCCAAAATATCGAAAAATAACTTTTGTTAAAAAGTAAACAAACATGGAACAGCATTTGAAGTTTGACGAAGACAGAGAAATGTAAACAACCGTTGCCATTTATAAATAGTTTTCAGTGCTTCTACATATAAAATAATTGATTGATATCTAAATTATACGTTATTATTAAATGATAATGCACACTATGTGCACACTTTATATTTTGATTACAATTAAATATATTAATCTAACCAATAAATTATTATTTTGGTTTGATAGCACATGTAGAGTATAAAATACGGAGTAATATTTTCAGCGACTCGCGAATAAGAAATTTTAAAACAAAACGTGACAACAGCTGAAGGTGCTGAGAATGTGACCTATTCAAATAATTTTGACTTCACAATTTTATGTAAATAACTGAGTCATCTGTGTTTATACGTCCATGGTAAAAATAGATAGGCAACTCAATGTAGAAATTTCGTTCATTAGGACCTCTTGCGGCTGGGGTCAATACTAATCATCTTTTGGCGGCAAATTCGAATGGACAACCCTTACATACATACCTTTTAGAGCCTCTTGCGGGCTATTTCGTTACTAATTAAAATTTACTGGAAAATAAGGATATATAAAAGAAGCACAATTTTTTCTAGATATACGTATATTTGTTTGTTATTTAAGATAAAACAGTTATAAACTAATTACATAATATTTATTACACATCTTTTCAGAAACAAATGTTAAATACTATTATTGTTTGCTTCCTGACACTACCATGATCCTTTTTGTAATTTCTCCATGATTTGTGCACAACGGAACAATACAATACTTCACCATGTTCAGCTTTTTTAGCACAACACAAAAATTCTTTGCTACAATAGGTAACTCAAACTAAACTTTAAAAACTAAGTAACCAACTTAAATTGAAATTACTAAGAATAAACGCAAACGAAAGATAAAATAAAATTGAAAACTTGTAAACAAACGGAAGATCTGTCATTACTTTTGACAGAATTGACATTGCGGAATTAAGCTTCGTTTGATTATTTTATTGACACCCCGAGACTGTTAAAATAAATGATTGGTTAAAGTCTTCGTGAGAGAGATAGGCTGTTATTTCTCTTTATTAACTCCCTGGGGTTAAAGTGATGGGGGAATGAACCAAGGTCATTCATATAAGATACCAGGGCATGATTAAAATGCGTTTTAACGTAAAAGAGTGCAGTTTTTGTTTACAATTTTTGCATTTTGCCGCAATTGAAATCAGTTTCTATAAATATGTTCAATAAATAAACGTTGCGTGATTTTTGAAATTTTTTACGATGCTCGGGATATCAATAAAATATAGAGGAGTGGTTGGAACACTGGAATGCAAACTGACAATAACTTTTTTATTAAATGCTACTTTAAACTTATATCGTACCTCTATATTTGGTATATAAACAAGAACTGAAAAATCATGTCGTTTTTTGATAAAAAACTATAGTTAACATCTCAAAAACATTAAAAAAAATACTAAATATATCACTGTTCCTTTAAATGTGGGAACACTGAGACGCAACAATTAACATTATTTTATGTTTAGACTGTCAAAGTTTAATTCAAATTTTAAAAGCGAACTTTGGCACTTTCATTTCATCATTTTAATGTCTTTTTTTAATACATGTGAGACATCTGAGACAACTGGAAAAAAGAACCTTTTTTTCAAATTTAGCGCTTTTTCTTAAAAACGATATTTCAAAATCATTTTCTTTTATTTGAGACAAGACTTTGCCTACATAGTATGTGTTCTAAAGTTATTTTCTTGTGGCATTTTAAATTAATTACTATTTAACTGGGAATAAGCCACAATTAAAGGTTTTAAGTACGTTTATTGACATTTCCACAGAATATAGACTTGCGTATATCTTGCGACGCCCCTTCCAAAACAGAGATAATAACAGCTATCAAATCTCTGAAAAATAACAAGTCTCCGGGAATCGATAACATTGCTGCCGAAATGCTTAAAACTGATCCGCATCTAACTGCTGAACTTTTGCTCCCCATAATCCGAGAGGTGTGGGAAACAAACCGCATTCCAGCAGGCTGGAAAAAGGCATCATTACTAAGCTTCCAAAAAAGGGCAACCTCACACTATGCAAAAATTGGAGAGGAATAACCTTGCTTACCGCCATAAATAAAATCTTCACGACCATCATACTTAAAAGATTAACAAACAAGGTTGAATTTCGAGCTAATCAAGTAGGCTTTAGACCAGAATCCTCCTGCATAGACCACATTAATACTGTGAGGCTAATAATGGAACAATCGGTTGAATGGAACACACATGGTTTTTGTTGATTTCGAGCGTACTTTTGACAGCTTATCTCATGATGCGATATGGAAAATTTTAGAGCTAAGAAACATCCCGCATAAAATAATTTCCATTATAAAGTTACTGTACACTGAAGCGAAATGCAGCGTGACACACAATGGAATCAACAGTGACGAATTTGACGTACTTACTGGAGTCAGACAGGGATGCGTGCTTTCTCCGTTTCTTTTTAACATAGCTCTAGACTATGTTCTCTCCAAACTAGACTCTGACACAAGAGGGATACAATGGACGTTAACCACACGCCTAAGCGATCTAGAATACGCCGACGATATCTGCCTGTTAGGACAAAGGTTCCAAGATGTGGCTGACCAATTGGAAACACTTTCCACGGAAGCCAATAAAATAGGTTTGAAAATCAATATTGGTAAAACCAAATCCATGAGAATAAATGCAAGAAACAACACGCTATTCACCATTAATAACATGCAAATTGAAAATGTGGAAAACTTTACGTATCTTGGAAGTGTCATAACAGAAAGCGGAGGTACAGAAGACGATATTCGTATGAGGATACGAAAAGCGCAACAAGCTTTCAGCATGCTCAACCCTGTTTGGAGGTCTGGAGAATACACTACGAGGACAAAGATCCGCATATTCCAGTCAAATGTCATGTCTGTACTACTTTACGGATGTGAAACCTGGAAAGCGACAAAAACCCTTACAGACAAACTGCAGGTCTTTGTTAATAAATGTCTACGAAGAATTGTTCGTATTTTCTGGCCTAACATCATCAGAAACGAAGATTTACTACACCTGACCAAACAAAAGAGGGTAGTAAATGATAAAGTCCAGAAAGTGGGGTTGGATCGGTCACACACTCCGAAAAAATAACTCCAGTATTGCAAAGACTGCCCTAGAGTGAAATCCCCAAGGAAAACGAAAAAAAGGTCGCCCAGTACAAACTTGGAGAAGATCCATCATGGACGAGATAAGAGGCCAAGGAAAGTCTTGGAATGAGGTGAAGGCCTTAGCGCAAAATAGAACCCGATGGCGCATTTTCACTGAAGCTCTATGCTCCACTTAGGAGTTCAAGAACCTTTATATATATATATATATATATATATATATATATATATATATATATTGACATTTCAATTTCCACTTAGGAAATCGTTCTCAAAATTAAATTAATTTAATTTACTTTTTGTATTTTGAGAACGATTTCCGAAGTGGAAATTGAAACGTCAATAAACGTCTTTTAACCTTTAATTGTGGCTCATTCCCAGTTAAATAGTAATTAATTTACATAGTATGTCTTTTGCTTAGAGTTAAATTCAACAAGAAGATAATTCCCATTATTGGGACAGCGATCAAGATCTTCGAAACTAATTGGTTCGGGATCTTCATCAATAAAATCCTCTCCTCCTAAATTCCATCTCATTTTAACTTGCTCATCAGAATCACTATTTAATACGCGCCTAGTTACTTTTTTCTGTTTTGGTGTTTTTTTTCTTTAGATTTAATCAGTTCTATTTTTTCTGGGGTATCCGTAGCTATCATCATCTTTCGTTTTTTGTTGCCCTCCCCAGATTTTCTTGTCGGTACTTTAGGATAACCCTTAAAAACTGTTTTGCTAAAAAAGGTTTTTGTGGTACAGTGCGTTAAGTTTTTGATTAGGTATTGCACACTATACGGAGCGCTAAAATCGGCAACGTTGCAAATGTTCGTTCTCCGACCCGAGACCATCTGCACCGACAGAAAATCATTTATTTTAGTTTAGTAACTCACAACAATGTTTGGGATGTACTTCTCTGTCGTCCGACCTTATGTTTCATTACGTACAGCAGATTTTAATAGTAGGAAATTCGATAAAAATGCACTGAACTAATCGGTGCATTGTTATCGATTTTTATTAATGTGAAAATTTTTTTGTGGTTGAATTAAAAATAAAAGCGTATTTCTTTAAAAAGATAAAATAAAAAATATACTCTTATTGAAAATTAAAATATTATTCCTAATAAAATAAAAAATAATTCTTTATGACCTACAGAAATGGTTCAAATAGTTGACCTTCTACGGCTGAACAGTACCCCAATCTGTCATAAAAACTTCTGCGAACAGATGAAAGAGTTTCTGCTGTAACAGAATTGGAGACTTCTCTTATTCGATTTTTTAATTCATCCAAATTTTGGGCTCTAGCCTCAGGATGAGCGTAGATAATGTTTTTTAAATGTCCCCAAAAAAAGAAGTCCATGGGTGTAAGATCTGGAGATCGCGTAGGCCACTTAATATCGCCTGTTCCACTGATAACTCGATTCGGGAAAGTATTGTTTAAATACTCCCTAATAATTCGAGCGTTGTGAACTGAACAGCCGTCTTGATGAAACCAAACATTCTCCAGATTTACATCAGGAAGATTGAGAATAGCGGGAAGAACATGATTCTGTAACAAATCCAGGTATTCTCTACTATTCAAGTTGCCCTCAATAAAAAATGGACCTATTATGTGGTCTTCTAAAATGCCAGTCCAGACGTTAACTTTTTGAGGACGTTGAGTTCGGTAAACAACACTTCTGTGCTGGTTTTCCCGCGCCCAATACTCATAATGGAAGGATTGTGTCTCCCTACTAACGAAACAGAAGATTCATCAGTGAATAAAATGTTTTTAATAAAATTTGGTTCACTATTAGCCTTCGTTATTAGAGTTTCACAAAACTCCATTCTTCGAAAGTAATCGTCTGGATAAAGCTGCTGCGTTTTCGAATATTTAAAATTCTTGTAACCGTGCTTTTTCCATACTTTCGTTACAGTAACATTGCTAACATCTAACTCTCTAGCAACGCTTCTACTTGAACGTGTTGAATCTACCTCGATTGTTGCACAAATTTGTGTATCCCCGTATTCTCTTTCCTCAACTTTTTCTGGTAACACTTCTTGAGCGTGACATTTTCTGCAATTTTTGAGGCAATAACAACTCTCAAAATTTTTAACAATATTACAAATTGACTGTACACAAGGAATTGGTCTTCCCTCAAAAAACACAGAAAATAAATCTACACACTGTTGCGCAGAATTGCCACGATAAAACCATTTTATTATTTGAGCTTTTTCCGCGGCCATATAAACAGACATGTTTACAAAAATAAATTAAAACTCTACGCTGTTATACCTTTAAACAACCACGGTATAATGACAATATGACAAATTTGCCGACGAGCGACGAGCAACGACGAGTCAACGAAGCAGATATGTAGTGCAAGTCGACGACGGGCAGTGTTGCCATTTATAGAGTGTATACCTAATCCAAAACTTAACGCACTGTATCAGTATTACTTGGACCTGGATTTTCTACATCTAGAGATTATATTCTTCTTCAGTGAAGACATGCCGATCAAATGGAAATATTCTGATCATTAATGTGTTGCTTGTGTGAGTCCATTTCAAATAGGTAAAGAAATAATAAATAAGACTTACAATCAATTTAATTTAACTATTCAGACCACCGGTTTCGCTTTCTACAATATGCAAAGCATCTTCAGGTCTCGATACAAAGTTAAATAAATTTACCGTACCGGCATTAAATGAGAAATAAAAAATTAAAATAATGTCTGTCAGTAAAAGATTCGATTCGTAACGATTGTCAAAATTTAAAATTTATAAATGTTATGAATTAATAACAATAATAAATCATCTGTTTAAATTTTTATGACACTTCTCGTTTTAAAATAATTTCATATAAATCCATTATTATTTTTTTCTACTCCCTTACTAGTAAATTGTATATTACCTACTATTTGGATGCTAAGTAAATGTATCATAACAGATACTGACAAGTAATGACTAGCACGTAATAAAAAAAATTACGCTTCAGTTTTATAAAAATGTGTAATATCACATAAGCCTCGTAAGTCAGTTGGTCGAGTTACCATGGAAACGAATTAACAGACGTTATTTTGACAGATTAAAAATTATTAATCTGTCAGTGTAAGTGTAGTGGTAATTTAATTTTTATTTTTATAAACGAAAATAATCGTAGAAAAAGTATAGTACACAACTTGAGTTGTAAGCTTATTACATGCTTGTAAAATTACTGCGCTCACCGCTACGCGGCTCGCGCGCAACTTTTTTACTCGCATATAATAAGCTTCTTACAACTCTCGTTATGTAATATACTATTAAACATCTTATTTAGTTTATATAATAATTAAATTTACTATCAAATGATATTTATTTATATTTTATTAATTTAATATTTCATCTAAATTTGACAGGTATGTCAGAAATAAACAACGTATGCTTTGTTTTAGTTTATTGAACTATTTTAATATAATATAATTTTTTTAAACTATAAATATTAAATAAATAATAAAATGACTTTATTTAATTTTAAAAATATCATTTAAATTTTAAAAATGACTATATTGGAATCAGAAATACAGTATAAGAACTGCAGAAGAGAAAACATTTAAGATCCGTTATTTAACCTGTACATAAAAAACATTAGAATCTCAGAAAACATTAAACTCAAGTCTTAGATGATGTAGATGAACATATACATATGTAACCGGGGAGAAATATATTTCCAGTACTTCTCTAAAGTGCCGAAATGTTGACCCTTATGTATCCACAACAAATTGAAAACTTTCGAAATGTAACCATATTAGAAAGATACTTAGGATTTTCTGATAGGGTCATAGGTACATACATGAAGAAGTATTAAGAAGATTACATAAAGTCACGGAAGTCGTTCCAACGATTTAAAAACGCAAGCTTGTATATCTAGACGACGTAATATAAAATGGCAACAGATAAGAAGTATTAAAGTGTTAATGATAATAATCCAAGAAAAAATACCTGACAGGATTATTTAGGAATGGTAAGGTTAGTTAGTATGGAAGAAGAATCTCTTGGCTACAGAACCTGAAGTCATGATTTCAAATAAATACTGCAGATAATGTAATATATAGTCTATACATATATTTATTATAAATTTAGTGATACATCCTGGATATGTTTTCGATATTTAATGATGAATTATTAGTCTTTACGGACTTTAATTTGCTATTGATATTTACCTTGTTATTTTTATTATTAAGATACCATTCATTTTTTTAGTGAACAATGCCACAATTTGGTCTCAGGAATCTACAAAACTTCATGTAAGACTGGAGAAGGTTTAGAAGAAATGTTTACGGATATAGGGTCTCAGTTAGTCAGTATGAATAGGTCCAGATTAGAACTTCAGTCTATTGAACAACACGGTTTCAAGATAATACCGTACGAGGAAGAACCAGAAGAAACTAACTGTATCTGTTGATATATATGAACTTAAATTGAACGGTCAAGACTGGTTTCACATGTTTAACCTCTGTCATATTGTAACAGCTTTTAACATGAGGTCCCAAATATATAATATATATATATATATATATATATATATATATATATATATATATATATATATATATATATATATATATATATATATATATATGGAAGTTACAAACCAAAAAAATATGTAAAAGTTACGACTTTCAAATTGGAAGCGATTGGTATTAAAGACTAATTACTATTTATAACTGGGAATAAGCCACAGCTTCAGAATGGTATTAAAGACTTCAGGAAATAGTGGTTCTAAAGTATTCAGAAAATATTTCTACTAATATATTCTATCTTTGAATGAGTTACATCTAAGGTTGTTACTGTCTTATACAAGGGCGCTATCATAATCCTTTGCATCCATTAAATAACCCGATAAATTAAGCCCGCGATAAGAAAGCTATGTTCCCAAAAGATTCTTCAGGGTTTTCTTAAGGAGGTTAACAATCTGTGCTCTGTTCTCTTAGTTTCCTATAGTAATATCAGCCATGCCAACAATATGCAGAAAGTTAATGGTAAAAACAAACATTTAATGTAATTTATTTTGAGCCTAAAAACTCAGAACAGACAACAAAAGCTCACGCACCAATACCGAAAAACCGTCACCGTTCCACCTGGCACGAGATTTCTGAGTGCCAAAAACGACAAACAACTTGCCCTAATTGCGGTAGTGGTGAACATAAAAATCCAGACGCCTCCAGATAAAAAACTTCAAATGTCGCAATTGCAAGGGTACACACCCGGCATGTGGCCACCTCGTTGTCCAAAAAGGCAGGAGACACCTACAACTCAGCAGGAGGCCAAATCTCTGCTCGTTGAGAGAAGGATTCACCCTGCTACTTTGACATCAGATGTGAGGTTGTGTATACAATTCACAACCACTCTGCTGATGAACATATTACCAGACAGAAGGGAAATGATCACGAAATATTCTTCCGATCTATCCAGTAAAATCGTTACCTACATGCTTCATCACACCACCATCCTGCCCAAAAGAATTCTGTGATCAACTCTTTCATCCATCGGGCCATTTCGATTTCTGAACCCGACAACCTTAGAGAAGAACTTGGCCATCTGCAAAAAACCCTTGTCGCTAACGGTTACTCCAAGTCCACAATTCAAAATATTACACATCGACATCTACATCCCCCTTTACACCCTAGGACGACAAATTCAGAATCTTCGGGTAATACTCCTGTGGCTTTTTTCCGTATATTCGAAATGTCACTGATAGGATTGGCAAAATTCTTCGCAAAGAAGGTATCAGGACTACTTTTCGACCACCCAAGAAAATCTCACAATATCTACCCTCTCCTAAGGACCCATTACCGCCCCTATCTTCCTGTGGTGTCTATTCTATTCCTTGCTCATGTGGACATGTGTATATTGGCGAAACTGGTCGTTCCGTCAAAACTCGGATTCAAGAGCATCAAAGATGCATTCGATCAGGTCTTTTCTCCCATTCTGCAGTTGCAGAACACTGCCAAGAAACCGGTCATTCCATATTGTTCGAAAAAACCCATATTATTTCTAAGAGCCCCTTCTTTTATTCCAGGAAAATCCGCGAATCTCTAGAGATCCGAAAAAATCCACATAATATCAATCGAGAGGAAGGATACTACTTGTCTCCCATCTGGAATCTCAGTCTAGAGCCGCCGTCCGGTCCCGCTACCACGATGCAGCCACATGATTGGCCAGCGCGCGCTTCTTGACGTTCGCGCCACGGAGTGTGCCGATACGTCCCGCCACGACAGGTCACCGCGACTATAAATAGAGCGGTAGCGGAGTAATCGTCGGATTCACTCCCCGCCTCTCGACGCGTTAGTGTTCTGAGCTGTTGGACGTGAATCCCTGTCCTGGCATTTGGTTTTCACCTCTGGCTGCGTTGAGTAGTTGAGTTACTGTGACCAAATGCCCATCTTGGTAGTTAGTATTCGCCTCTGGTTGCGTTGAGTAACTGAGTTACCGTTGCTAACTACCCATCTTCCTGTCTTTTGTTTCTTTTTCTTTTTCTTTGTTCTCCTGAAGAAGCTACATACAATTGTAGCGAAACGTCGAGATGAACCCACTTTTGGGTCACTCACAAATGACACGGTGCAAACCCGGAAGACGAATAAACTATAATTATCCAGTAAAAAGTTTGGGTGCCCACCGCAAGACACAACAAGGACGAAATGACCTTCGTCCCCAACCACTAATTGTGAATCCCAGTTTTCTAACACTCCACCACTATAACTCCATACGCATATCACACCCCCTGGCTGCACAGAAAAAAAAGGAGCACCCCTTCCTTGAAGAGGTAGAAGCTTAAACAATGTAAAAACATGGAATCATCATCCTCATAGACTTTCGGACACTACGATGTATGACACACTTTTATGCACAAGAAAATAACAGTACTGCAAGACAAAATCATAATCAACATGACATCACAAAATACACTACAAAACAAAAACAAACACCTAATCAAAACACCGAAAACACAAACCACAAAAACGTATGAGACAATACCAAAACACACAGAACCAAAACAAGAAATTGAGGAACAACCCTGGACACCTACAAAAATTAAACGTAAGTTGGATTAGCAATGAAAAAGCTAAAACCAGGAGACAACGGCAAACTCAAACACTATGATTACAATCGTGAAACAAACGGACCTTGAGAACATAACAAAATAACGGACCAAAGATGCAAACACAATTATACTATCGACGAAGGATCTCCTTTTATTAATCACAGGAATGCCAATGAAGCAAGACCCACATACATTTACAAAAGCTCTGGAACAAAAACACGACACATATCTTGACAAATTCAAAATCTTAAACACACAATCATGCAAAAAACCGAAAGAATACTGGATCAACTTGTGTTATAATTGCTGCAGATACAACCACGTGACCAAATACTGCAAAGATTCACAATCGAAATGCTACAAATGCGGGCTGAAACACAACGGACATGAATGCACAAGTACGGCAACCAACTGCGATAATTGTCAGGTAATGAATTTACAACCAAGGAGACACCAGGCCAGTGACCTAAACAGCCCGGTATACATAAAAACTAGAGGGGGCTAAACAACAGACAAACTAATAGAAAACACACAAAAACACAGATCCAAAATGGCCTCTTTCATACAGTTCATAGCTGGAAGGGGCTGCAGACAAATTAATACAAAAAACAGAAGTCATTGACATAGCTCGACTACAAGAATCGGGACACAACATATTCCAAAATACGGAATACACTACTTCTTTAAGGAACTAGGCAGTAAACAATTTTGTACAACATAACAACTTTGTAATGAATAAAAACATTGGGAAATAAAGAAAACAAGAAGGTTCTCCTTTCGCCGTTAATTTTTGGAGTGTGGTGTCGGGATGACAGAAAGAGAGGATGACGTTGACAGGACTTCGGGAATATTGAGTAGAAACAGGTCATATGCCGAAAAGTAGGTGGACCAGAGTCAAACTTGCTGAGGTCATTAGTCTTGAAGACCTACCGCGAGAAGTGGAGACGCGAAGATAACAGATTCATGTACTGACAGATTAAGCGATCACGATAGGGCAAAAAGAATACAAGCACCAAGATAACGTCTCACGGCACTTGGAGGAGAAAATCTATAGTACAAAAAGTTTGTACGTGCAGTATGGGCAAATCAGAATAAATATAAACATAGGGAGCCAGCGTCAAAAGAAGATTAAGAATCCTGGATGCCTAATATAATCACTACACGACTGCTAAAATCTATAATATTAAAGAAGAAACGAAATTTGATTGCCATTCAGTGTTCTGCCCTTTGGTTATCCATAATTACCGATTTGGAGAGAATAATTAAAGAGTGAAATAACCAGATTTCAACCTTTTATGTAACAATATTTTAAAGGTACAATAAGTCAATTGGCTACAGTACGATGGGCTCTTCTTCATAGGCAAAATGCTCATTCAATCTTCAACATCTTCCAAATAATCACACCAGCGTGTTTTAGGTTGCCCAATGCTTCTATGCTTTGTTGATGAATTGTCCTGAGATATCATTACTATTCTGGTTTGCGTCATTGTGTCAATATCTTAATTCATTCTACTTTTCTTTTTTGTACGATGTATGTTTTTACACATCTATGAGTCTATGGCCGTCAAAGTCTGTGGTTTGTTGCAGGTTCTGGTATATATAATGTCAATACCAGGAAAAATGAGAAACAAACAAATTTCTATATTATTAAATTTACAAAAGAATATTTATTATTATTGAAAACTTTTTATTTCTTTAAAATAATATATTTGGGATCTTTATTGTAGCCGCTAACAACAAATTAATTTAAACCAAAGCAATTGTACAACTCAAAAAGTAACATAGATATTCATATTAATGTAATTTTTAAATATTTTATTTGTTAATTTAAGGTTTTACACTAAAAAAATTGTAAATAAAGGAAAATGAAAGTTTTTATTAAAACAAAATTTAGTGTTTTTATATAAATTCCTTAATGTATTCAATTGTTGATCATCTTTGAGAGAAAGTCTGGAAAACCGTACGTAAATACCTAATATTGTTTAAACTATTTAATACTTTTACTACAACTAAAACTTTAAAAATGGCAATCTCATCAATGAAAAACATATCTGCAGGTCCTGATGACATCCCGTCTATCTTTCTCAAACATATACAGGCAGGAACCCTCTTGAAGCTACTTGCGCTCTACAATAAGATATGGTTCGGCCAAAGCTTTCCGAGTCTTTCGCAACAGTCGCTTATCATACCGATCAGGAAAAATGACTCATCTTCTAACACTGCCAGTGCCTACAGGCCAATCTCACTAACATGTACAATGTGCAAAGTACTAGAAAAGATGATAAATAAACGTTTGCTTTGGTTTCTTGAAGAAAATAATCTGATAGATGCAGCACAGTCAGGATTCAGACCCAATCGAAGTACGATGGATAACCTGGTACTTCTACAAACAGAAATAACCCAAGCTATGTTAAACAAAAATGACGTCATCACAGT